AATTATTATTGATTTTTAAAATGTGATTATATACAGCAGTTATGTCTTCCGGAAAAGAGTTCGTATTTCTTAGACATATTGAAATATATACAGGGCTGGCCCGGTGGCGCACTGCTACAGTGGGCCACTTGGGAGCGCAGCGGCGCTTCCGCCGAGGGTTCGGATCCCACATACAGACCGGCTGCTCACTGGCTGAGTGAGGTGCGGGCGCAACACCAAGGGTTGCGATTCCGTTGCCGGTCCCGGTCTGGTCCCGGTCCGGTCCGGGCGCGACACTGAGGTTGCAATCCGTTGCCGGTCACGAAAAAAGACAAAAACGGAAAAAAAAAAAAGAAATATATACAGATGAATGCTATGACACTGGGATTTACTCAAAATAATCCAGGCAGAAGGCAGAAAGTGGATGGGGGGTACAAATAAGATAATGAGTTGTTGATTGCTGTAAATAGATTTATTGTATATGTATTAAATTTTTCATAGTAAAAAGTTAAAAATAAATTTAAAAATTAAATAAAAAATAAAACACCTAGTCTATTACTTATTTATTCATCTATTATTCAGTACTGTTCTTATTAGGTGTTGTGTACCAAACAAAGAAATAAAATAAGCAGTTGTGCCTTCCAGGCGCCTATAACAGGAAGTAAGATACGCAAAAAACTACAATGAAAGGCAAGTAAGTAATAATCATATTCATTAACAATCACTCAATTATTGAGGTATTACTTTGTACCAAGTTAAAGGCTTTATAAACACTACTACATAACATCATATAAGCTAGATATTATCTATATTTGTTTTAAGAGAAGTCACTAAGGATTGGAAAGGTCAGACAATTTGCCTAGGGTAACAGAATACAAGCTCAGATTCAGATGCAAATATAGATCTATCTCACTCCAAATTCCCTGTTCATAACCACTGGGAAATATCACTCACTTATGTGTTTTATTTTTCTTTCTTTATTTATTTTTAAAAGATGACCGGTAAGGGGATCTTAACCCTTGACTTGGTGTTGTCAG